TCACACACATGCCACCTCCCAACACTGCCAACTACCATTCCAGGACCAAACACCACTCTGCAATCCCAACCATTGGGGATGCACCAGGGCAGGACCCCTTAATCTCCTAGTCATTCACTTGTTTTTATTTAGCATTTCCCATGTGGCCAGCACTCTATTAGGTTGTGGTGGAGATATGGTGATGAACAGTGCAGAAGTGGTCCCTTCTTAGGTGGCACTCACTGTCCTTGAAAAGCATGATTAGCTCATAGACTCAGCTGCTCGTGAGAAACCATCTTAGGGATTTTTAAATCATTGGTATGGTGTAACATAGAAAAGAATCTTTGTTTTAGGTCTGGAGCCTCAGAGATGCTCTTTAAATAAGTGAATTCAACATGACAAAAGTTATCCATAGCTAAGTATAGGTAAACAATGGAACATGGTAATATCATTAAAACTAACAGCATGACATTTCAAAGTATAATTAGTGAAATGTTAAGCTAATTGCACTGTGATTACTATCTTTAATTTAAGATATAACTATTTTTTTATAACAGCTAAAACAATTATTACATTCCTATAATTCTACCTATCTGTGATTGTATCTTAAGTTTCCATTAACAAAAAGTTTTCCCTTCAGCAAACATTTCTCACATATTTTCCTACAGCAATTCTTTAAAAACCTCTTAACAAGATTGGTATGTCAACCACCCATTAACTCTAAACCATCAAAGTATACAATCCCATACCTAAACAGTGATTAGAGTTGATTCAATGGGCTTTTGTCTACTAGCTGTAGGCCACTGCCTCCTAGCTAAGGACTTTTGTCCCATAAGTTTGTTAGCTAAAAACCCTATGCTAAGAATCAACTGAGAATCAACATTTACTTGATTAGAATTGATTAGATGGGGGCTTTTGCCCGCTAGCTGTAGGTTGTTGACTCCTAGCTAAGGACTTTTGTCCCATAAGTTTTTTAGCTAAAGAGCCTTTTATAAAAATCAAAAGAGAATCAAGATTTCTAACCCCCTACATAAAACAGCCAGCATATCTAGAATATTATGAGGAAGGGAATTTTGTAAGAAAGTGTGTGTGTGTGTGTGTGTACGTGTGTGCATGCATGCACGAGTGAGTGTGTGTGTGCTTTCCAGAGATGAAGGCTGGCTAAGATACAGAAGATACTAGCATTTGGTGTGATTATGATGATTAACAGCATTTCTCACATGCCAACCAGCTGACAGTTTCATTCATTAGTGACGTCAAGCATTAGGTCAACTACATCATTTCCACTTTCCTCCTTCCATGGCCAGAACCATGGACTCTGCCTGGCAGAAGGTTGGGTGTCCTACACAGTGAAGGCACACAACAATGTCTCATCTCCACCCTGCACCATCTTGTGATGAAATCACCTGTTGGAGCAATAGAAGGGGATGTTTGTTTTTCCTCTGTTCTCTTTATCAACCACAGGAACTTGAGGGACTTAAAGCAGAGTTCATTAGGCCCAGATATCACATAACAGTTAGGGAGCCGAGCCTTTGATAGCTGCAGATGCCTTACATTACTGGAGTTTTCAGGTCATATATTTATAGACATTTAGAGTGAGAAAAGACATTAGAGATTATTCCAGCCCAGCCCTTTCGTTTTGCAGTGAAAGGAAGCATAGGAATGGGAAATGACAGTCCAAGGTCACACAGATAATTATAGAGCTCAGATGAGAACCCAGGCTCCTGGACTCTTTTTCCTCTGACTGATCTCTCTAGCTTCATTTCTAGGTGTAAGTTACTCTGGATTCAAATGAGAAATACTCATTATTAAACCTGATCTTTTTCTGAAATACACAAAAGGGAAGGGAAAGAAATCTAGCACATTGTAGGTGTTCAATAATTGAGTTGGTTGGATTTTTGTGCTATTGGGTAATCTTACTTTATGTAGCTTAACAAAATTGGATCCTATTAACCTTGAATTTGTTTCATTCTTTATTCTCTCCAATGACCCAAATGTGGCTGGAGATTTTCATTTCGCCCCACTGCCTCATTGCAAAATTTGAGTATGGATATGAGGTTATAATATGTTTAATGGTTAAAGGAAAGGCTTTCTGAGAAATGCACATGGATTTAGAATAACTTTGGTTTAAGCTTCTGAAGGTTTGTGGGAATCCTCTTTGAAGGATGTGCATTGTCAGAAATTGAGGTTATGTAGGCTGTCTAGTGACTGGGACATAGCACAAACACTCCCTAACCCTATTCCAAATGCATGATTAAAACAGACATGAAATGATCCTAATTGTATATTCACCACTTAGGTCTAACAATTCTGAATTTGCTTATCATTATGTTTGCAAAGTATATTTTTGATCAAAATCTTCCAATGCACTCAATTTTCTTCCCACTGCCATCCTGATGAATTGCAGCTTTGTCATCCTGAGACTTTTGTAGATCCGTGTTCTGCAGTACATGCTTCCCGCTCCGTAGAAGCCTCAAGGTAGCACAAGAAAACTCTGCTGGGGACTTTCTCTTCAGACCCTCAGAGACCAGGGTTTACAGTTTTCCGGTGTACCAGTGACACACTAGAAAGGAACGATAGAGTTCTCACTGCCAGGGTCTTCTGAGGGTGGCCCTTCTACCCCCTCACACACATGCCACCTCCCAACACTGCCAACTACCATTCCAGGACCAAACACCACTCTGCAATCCCAACCATTGGGGATGCACCAGGGCAGGACCCCTTAATCTCCTAGTCATTCACTTGTTTTTATTTAGCATTTCCCATGTGGCCAGCACTCTATTAGGTTGTGGTGGAGATATGGTGATGAACAGTGCAGAAGTGGTCCCTTCTTAGGTGGCACTCACTGTCCTTGAAAAGCATGATTAGCTCATAGACTCAGCTGCTCGTGAGAAACCATCTTAGGGATTTTTAAATCATTGGTATGGTGTAACATAGAAAAGAATCTTTGTTTTAGGTCTGGAGCCTCAGAGATGCTCTTTAAATAAGTGAATTCTGCATCAGATTGTTTGCAAGGCACTAACCCTGCAAACTATGTAAGCTGAGTGGGAGCTATATAGCCCCACTCCCTTCAGGGAAGTGGGGTTTGGGTAATGGTCAGTGCTGGAGGCCATGGTGGGAAGGTTCTGGGCTGTGGGAAGGCTGCTGCTGTGGGCATCTTCACTGCCTGGGAGCGCTATATAGCCCCACTCCCTTCAGGGAGCTATATAGCCCCACTCCCTTCAGGGAAGTGGGGTTTGGGTAATGGTCAGTGCTGGAGGCCGTGGTGGGAAGGTTCTGGGCTGTGGGAAGGCTGCTGCTGTGGGCATCTTCACTGCCTGGGAGCTCCACACACAGCTGTAGGGTCTGAGTGGTTCTCACCCTATAGCTACGGCTATTGGCAGACCCAAGGGTGGCCTCACTGGGAACCATATGCCTCCTTCACCCTCAGTGCTCAGGCCTGGGATGGCAGATTTGCCTGCCCTGGGGTCTCTCCTGTACCCTCCCCATGCCTGGAACACTTCAGGTCCATGAGACCCACTTCACCTCTAAACCCAAAAGTCCTATCAAATTTCAAAGGGAGGAAACCCAACCTGAGTATCAGGAAGAGCCCAGCTCTGCTAACTCAGCAGAGATCGCGACTGCAAAGGCGAGTGGAGAGTTCAACGCATGCAGCAACCACTTCAGCAAACTCAGAGGCTGGGCTGGTTCTGAGACTCCAGCTGTGGGAGAAGCTGTCCTAGCATGGTCTTCTTTTGCCAGGCATTGTCCACATAAGTATCACACAGGGGCTTCTCAAAGTGATTTCGAAGACAATGAAATTCCTCCGCTACCTTCTGCTTCACACACCCCTGAGGTGGTCATTGATCACCATATAACACAATCATCTGGTTTCCCAAAAGATTACAAAGCTTTCAAGGGCACCCGTGTGCCCAAGTATCAGCATGGCACATGGTAATTGTGGAACAAACATGGTTGATCTCATTAATTAATTCCTCTTTTTCCCTCCATCTCTATACTACTTCACACAGTGTCTTTAACAAAGAAGGGTCCCCAAAATGCTAGTGACTGACACTAAAGAGGAGGCTCTTCAGGAGGTTTATCCATCACCCACATTTAGATGGAAAATGACAAAATCTGTGGGTGATGACTATGCCCCACACATTCCTCCCATCTCTAGTGTATTCCAGCTACAAGCTGTGGCTTGAAGGGGGTTTCTCATGGTTCTCTCTCAAGTTCAGGTGCCTGCCTCGCACCACACAGTCAAGGGTGGCAAGTGGCATGAGGCTGCCCAGTTGAGAGAGAGCTGACATCTCTCCTCTCTTCGGAACCTCCCCCTGCAGTTTGCCAGCCCGCCCCTGCCCTCCTTCCCGTGGACCGAGTGTTTGAGAGGCATCATACCAGGGTAGTGAACCTGTCCACACAGGCGTTGCGGACCTTCTCTGGGGTGGCAGGGCTGTCTAGCCGGAAGAGTTCCTTTATGTTATTATCTGTGTGCTGAGCTCGAGCGGCACGGATGGCGTCCTTGATGGCAAAGAAGATGGAGGCAGCCAGGAAGAGGGGTGGCTCCCCAACGGCCTGAAAGGACACACAGGGCAGGGGATCAGGGGAGTGGCCCAGTCGCCATGTCACCGTGCAGACGCAGGAGGCCAGGCAGGGAACGCTGCACCAGGACCCTGCACTAACAAGCCACATAAACTATGGCAGGAAGCATCCGTCAAACTTATTCAGGGGCCGAGAACAATCAGTCTAGTAAATGACTGGACTTCATGGGCATTTTTTTTTTTAACTCTTGTTGTGTAATTTTCTCTGATGACACCATGCAAATATAATGTACCATTTAAAATGATTCTAAATAATTACATTTTATGGATCAAAAAATCTGACATGAATTTTAACCCTTTCCTAGGGGAATAATCTACCTGAAGCTCTGAAACCAACATTTACAGGCACCATAATTATACTTACAGCATCTGCTGGAATTATAGGCACAATGAAAAACAAGAATTAAACACTTTCTAGCAGAGGTTGGTTTTTCTCCCCCACAGAGCACAAATCAAAGAGCATATCGGAATCACTAAGGACACTTGTTACAAATGCATGTTCCAGGGCCCTACTCCAGGCCTACTGAATCGAAATTTCTAGGGGTGTTCCCCATGGAGGTGCATTTTTATTGTGAGCCCCAGTGATTCCAAAGAGCCAATGGCAAGGGTCACAATGTGTCCCAGACCACCCCCCCACACACACACACATGGTTAGGTAAACCATGAGATGAGCAAACGGGTGTTTCACTGGTTACGCTGATTATGTTCTCTCTTAGACCTAGGACTAATCAATCAGCTAGGTCAATTTTCAGCCATTTTTTCATATGTATTGGAGAGAGAATAAATAGAGGACAGTTATTCACAATCCTCTAGACATGCTGATCAAGTCTTAAGGTCAGGTCTCGACAACGGAAGGAGGTGAAAGGGCGTGTACAAGGCACTGCCCCACCTGCAGTGAATATGCTGATTCTCCAGACATGCTGATCAAGTCTTAAGGTCAGGTCTCGACAATGGAAGGAGGTGAAAGGGCGTGTACAAGGCACTGCCCCACCTGCAGTGAATATGCTGATTCTCGTGGGACCTCAGCAATGCCATATCTATACAATCATCTCTGAGGATCAAGCACCAGAGATGCACACCTGAGATATGGGTGCAGGCCAGGATTGGACCTGCAGAATCTGATTAAGGAATCTTGTAAGTCCACCCAAAGGAGCCAGCTTCAGACCGCACTATGGTGGTATCCTCAACCCAAATCAGGTGGTTCTCAGGCAGGACTGCCCAGTGCTCTGCTGCCCTTGCCAAGGCCAGTGCCAAGCCCTCTTCCCTCTTCAAGACAAGCCCCTTGCAGACCTGCCAGGTGGGTGGTTGAAGCCCTTCATCCCACCGTACAGATTGGAAGGCAGCACAGACCCACAGCAACAGTACCTTGGATGCATAGATGGCCTTCTTGTTGGGGCAGTTGCGGAGCAGGGACACCCTGAACTCAGTGGGGATGCTGCCAAATGCGGGGATCTTGTAGGTGCTGGGCCCACGGGTGTGCAAGCTCCCCTCAGGGGAGTAATGCAGCTCCTCCAGGGAAAAGAGGCCAAGGCCCTGGACAAATGCCCCTTCCACCTGCAAAACAGATGAAGACCATAGTCACCCTGCCTCCCTCCTCCCGAAGTACAGACACTGTTTGCCACAATGGGCACAAAGCCCCGCCCACAATGGGGCCTGGAAGGAAGCTAAAACGGCCCTCTACTGCTTACCTGGCCCCTGCCCCAGCCCTGGGATGACTCGTGGACTTCCACCAGGCTTTGGTGTTAACATGGAAGGTCAGTTTCAGAATTTGTCAGCGATTCTAAGAGGGTCACACAGTTGTAGGCGTAACTCCCCTCTAAAACCCACCTCAGTGCAGATGGAAATGTTCCTCACATATTGCCACTGGCAAAATGGTGACCCAGAGCTCAGCAGCGAGCTCACAGGAGCAACTTCTTGGATAGAAGATTCTTGACACTTAACTCCAGCCATTTTGAACTCCCAGCCCTCCCGTCCTCTGGGAGAAAGTGCCCCTGCCGTAGCTTACAGACCCCTGTGAGATCTCTAGAGCTCTCTCTTCTAGGGCACCTGCCATGCTAGACTGGCCCACTTCTCTGCCCTCCCAGACCCCCTGCTCAGAAGAGTGATGTGTGGCACTGCTGGAGCCCAGTGAGGGTTAGGGGAGAGACAGGCTGTTAATCACCTTTGGATCTACGGTGACTGGCACAGTGCCTGAGCATAGTAGGGGCTTCCTACAAAGTTGCTCAATGAATGAATGAACAGATGGACTAATGACTACATTTGTGTACACTCAGTAATTGCCCTTTTAAGAAATAACAATTTGTGTTTTCTATCAGATGCTTAATACTTGAACTCTTGATTCCTTCCTGTTTTCTCCTGTTTCTCCCATTCTGCCTCATATCTCATATTTTCCAAAAGTGATTTTCCTTAGGCCTTCCTTTACTCCTTCTGGTTGAGCCTGTGTCTTTTGCCCCCAGGGCTCTGCACCACCCCATGTCTGATTGCATTTACTTCCTGGAGTACAAAAGCTGGCATGAGTGGAAGAAGAGTGAGGAAGGGGAAAACTCTTCTGACCTCAGACCCCACTGCCTGGGCACCGATCCCAAACGTGATCTCCATTGCACATTGTGTTCACTCTCAATGTGTGTGTTTGTGCATGTGTGTGCACACATGTGCATCCAGTTTCACCATTCATCATCTGCTCTCTGAGGTGTGAGTGCCCTTTCCAAGTTAATCCATATCAATTTGCTTCCTGCCTCGAGAGTCAGGTGAGCTGCCATCAATCTAATCTCACTCTGGGACCCCAGCCTGCTTAAAAACGACATTGGACAACATGCTGTGGCTGGTTACCCCAGGAGGGGGATGGGACACATTGGTGGCCAGGTCCATCACAATCCTGGTCACCCTGAGCCTTACCTGTCCAATATCGATTGCAGGGTTCAGACTGGAGCCAACATCCATGACGATGTCAGTGCGGAGGTTCTAAAGTGGATGGCAAAATAGAAGCAGTTCGAGAAGAAAGGGATGTTTGGAACACGATAGATGGGTTTTGGTAACCCTTGACTACAAGTGCCAGCCCGAATAGTACTTTCAGTAGCATAAAGCTCCAGGCATGGTCAGGTAGAAGTGCTCATGTTCCCGCCATGTCTCCACTGCCATTGTCACTGCTGAAATTTGAGTTCTTTGCAGCTACATAGGGGATCTCTCCGCAATTGGAAGTAACTGTGCACACATTCATGCGTGACTAGGAAGGACAGGGTCCCAGGGACGGTGGCTTCCAACCTGAGTCTGGGTAGATCATGTAAGGAAAGGGCCAACAAACCATGTTCTATGGGTTGAGTCCAGCTCACCCCCCATTTTTGCAGGGCCAGTAGACTAATTACCTTATTAAATGGCTGGAAATTTTTCTAAAGAATATTTAGTGACAAGTAAAAATTATATGAAATTCAAATTTCTCTGTCCAAAAATAACATTTTATTGGCACATAGTCACACATTCTCTTACGTACTGTCTATGGCTGCTTTCACGCTACAACAATAGAATGGAGTAGGGGAGGCAGAGGCCGTGTGTCCCACAAAGCCTGCGTACTTACTCTCTGGCCCTTTATACGACATTTACCTACCCCAATGTAAGGCATGATTTCCCCACCAGAAAGTTTGTCTCTAACCACTCCTAGTGTGACGATTCAGTTGTTTCTCTTCTCTTTTCCCCTGAGTACTGAGGTTCTGCAGACTTCTTACCTTATGATCCCCTGTTAGGCAGTCGATTTCTACTTCAGAGCAAGACACCCCATAGGAGAAGTAGAGGAAGGGATTCCCTGAGTTTGTTTCAAAGCTGTAGCCAATGTTGGGTGTCCTAGGAGAGAAAAGAGAAGATACTGCACATGTAGTAAGATAAACACACCCCCTTCCCTGCACACACACACACACACACACACAGCTTGTCCCACAAAATCTTTAAACTCTAAAGGTTTTATTTTTGTCATTCAGCTGTTCTCCAAAAAAGTCCATTTGTTCTGAATATTTTGAACCTGTTCATGAAATCCAAGTATGCCAGAGCATTTTGTCTCTTTTCTCACCTCCAGTTTGCCAGGTGCCCTTACATAATCATTCTGCACAGCCTGGCAGTGTTTGATGCCGGGCTGGCCTCCACACAGTAGAAACAGAGGTGACAGATTTGTCTGAGCTCATGAAGGACATAAAAGTCACACTCCAAAGCACCTACTGAATCAGAATCTCAGGTCTTCAGGACTCAAAGTTTCTGCCTGTGGTGGCTCTTGGACTGTTCACTCAAGTTCATCTGCTTACGGGGCTGCTCACCTTTCTCAAGGTGAAAGTTAACAAGATCAGTATCTCACGCCAACCTAGGTGCATCTTAAAGCAGCCACCCCCTACCTACCAGCCCCTTTGAAATTTCAACAAATAATTTGAGGAGAATATCATTAGTAGAAAGGTACTCAATCCTGAGTACCTTAAATAATTCCAATTTTGCATGTCATATATGTATATGTGTATATGTGTTTGTGTGTGTATTCACACACCCAGAGTTTATAGTACACTGTCTCTATGTTATTCTACACCTTACACAGAAATAATGTCAACTGGTATGACCAGAGTCTGCACAAAAACAAAACCAATACAGGGAAAGGACTGAGAGCTGAGGGAACAGGGAAAAAACTTCTCTGAGAAGAAACCACCTCCTTTGCCCTCTGGCTTTACCATGTTCACCTGGGTTCACCTTTATAAAACCCTAGTTTTATGAACTCCAAAAATGTAATAGAAACTTATGAGAAAATCCATATTAGTTGTGTTTATGTAGGTCAAATATCACATAACCCAGGGAGTATTAGCAAAACATTTCCCTGCTGTATCTGCGTGTGTGTGTGTGTGTGTGTGTGTGTGCATGTGTTCGTACATTCATATAAGACATGTTAAAGCAAACAACTGTTCACACAAGTTCATCTGCTTACGGGGCTGCTCACCTTTCTCAAGCTGAAAGTTAACAAGATCAGTATCTCACGCCAACCTAGGTGCATCTTAAAGCAGCCACCCCCTACCTACCAGCCCCTTTGAAATTTCAACAAATAATTTGAGGAGAATATCATTAGTAGAAAACATTGAACTATTTTCCAAATCTACTGATCTATGAAAGAATAGGTCCTAGTTGAATTTCCCTGCGATGGCTAAAACATGATGACTGACAATAAATCTGATCGTTTCTCTTTACAGCTTCTAAGTTAGATGTTCAGGGTCACTAGCTATTAACTCCACTACTCAATTTTAAAGTTGCAGAAGATGTGCGCTCTCTTCTAAATCTCACTGTGTTAATAAAGTTCCACTGTACTCTTCATTTTATAATAGACCACATGCCAGAAATTCTCCTCTCATTCTTTTGAGAAAAAGCCCCTATAAAGAAGTCCAGTGCATAGCACAGAGAAACACAAAATGGGTTAGAGCAATGCCCAACTCAGAACACGAGACATTGCCAGTTCTTGCAGGAGATGGCTGAGGGAGGAATGGTAGGTGATCGGTCCAGTATGTCATGATGGGGAAACAGGTTCTGAGGGAACCACCGATGTCCCCAAGTGAAACAGCCCTCTTTGAGACCAGAATAAGAACGCAGGCATCTTCTGAAACAGCAGCGTGTGCTTTTGTCTCCTTGACAGATAGTCTGGTAATCCCACATATCCTAGTACATCTTTAGGCTGAAATTAGTGGAAGTCCACTGAAGGGATAAGAATTTGGGAGAACTGCTCCCTCCCGACCACAGGCTGGCAGGATTCACAGCTGGAGGGCACCAGGGAGGTCGGGATGATGACACACTGAGAAGCAAGAACAGCAACGTACTTACTTATAAAACCCAGTAGCAGACAAGCTCACTGCACTCGTGTAGGCAGCTGTGACCTGATGAGAGGAAATAGTCCATCAGGAAGGGATAGGTGTAGTTTCCAGAAATCCTGACCCACCGCTGAGCTTTCATGAGCTCTTCCCCTTCATCTGGAAGCCGATCAGCTCATTTGACTTGTGACTCCCACTTTCACACCTTACCGCACATTCCCACTGCCACCACCTGCACTGGGGCCTCATTGTCCGCAGCCTGGAGCACTAAAGTAATAGTGGCTGGTCTTCCTGCCTCAAGTCATCGCCGCAGCCCAGCCAGAGTGGTCATTTTAACATACCACCCTGCCCATGCCACTCCCAGACTCTAGAGCTTTCAATGACTCCCCATCATCTACAGAGCAAATGCCTGACCTCAAGGACCACAATCTCCTCTCTGGCCTTTTGTCACACCATTGCCACTCAGTCAAACTCAAGTATTAACTCTCTCCTAACCCTTCCATGTCCCCACACCTCTGCACTTTCTTTTATGTGGTTCCTCTGTGATATCTTTCCAAATCAATTTTCCCCCTTAATGACTAGTACAAACTTGCCTCTCCTTGGTGATTACTTTCTACTCTGGCCATTATAAGAGCAACTCTCTGTAGTTCTCGTTAGATACTTAACACGTTAACATTGTGCTTTTACTTATATTTTCCTATTAACAAAGCTGGCCATAATCCTGTCTCTCTAACTATATAGTGGGTGCTTTTTGGTATCCTCAGCACTAGCACAACACTAATATTTAAGTTGTGCTTGATATAATTTCTGTCATTATTACTGCCAAATACCAAGCTCTTTCCTATGTGCCAGGTGCTATTTAGCACTTTGCATATGTCATCCTACTTAATATTCACTATGACTCTATAAGATCTATGCTATTATTATTCTTATTTTACAGATGAGAAAACTAAGGCTTAGAGAAAAAAACCTTGGCCTGAGATCTGCTCTAGTCATATAATACAGTGTGTGTATTTGCTGGTGATTGTGGCTTATGTAGTGGGGTTACCTGCTTACAAAGAATATTAGATCACATAACTGGTGTTTGAGGACAAATCTCAAATCAACAGGTTAGGTGCTAGAAAACTGTTGTCAAGGCTGTTGTTGAAAACCCTTAAATTGCCTGACAAATCCATGCTAAAATCCAAACTCCTAAACCCAAGCTATATTCACATGGAATTCATGCACAGGGCACCTATGAGTGTGGGAAGGGGAGATCGTGTGAGCACCGTATGATGAGCAGGTCTGAGAGATACAGCTCAGCTTCCTTGAATCCACGGAGGGAGGTTTATAGTACCTGAGTTGGTTCATGTGCGGGCAGCTTACGTGTTACTATCCCACCCAGTTCTCCACCTGAGAGAGAAGTCTTCAAGCTTCCCTCTGAGGGTTTCTGACATGCAGGCCTCCAATCCAGAAGTCAGAGAATTGGGCTCATTCTTATTATGAGTGCTTGTTCTATGACTCCTGAAGTCACAAGAATGATGGAAGCTCTTGGGTGATGTCTTCTCCCCGCTCTCTCACAGAAGGAATCTCAATGGACCCACACTGCCAGACACGCGGGGCATGGGGCCAGGCCCAAGTGAGCCAAGACGTTGCAGTCAGGCATGCTCAGCAGTCACTCCATCATTTCAGGCCCAGGGCAGCCAAAACCCCAACTCCCACAGGCTTGTCAAGATCCTGGATCAGAAAGTTTCCTCAAGTGACTTCCCTCAGCTATGAAAACTATACAGAAATGGTCCTGTGAAATCATATGAACCAACTCAAGTTCTCTTGGCCTGTGTGACTAGATCCTTATCTCCCGAGCTTGTTTGGGGTGGGGACAGAGGCCTTTCTATCAATTTCCCTTATTTGCAAAAGCGACTTGGATCAGCTCAGACTTACCCAGTCTTCCCAGGAGCCATCAGGAATCTTTCTCTTGAAGGGCTCCAGCCTTTCCAGGATGGTCTGACAAGCTGCCTAAAGAAAACACCACAACCAACCAGACACATCAATCCCCTGCATTCCAAGGCCCAGGCAAAGCCCAAGGGCCTTGGCAAGGCCACCTCCAAGCAACGCTGTGCTCAGGATGCCACTCAAACACCCTTGCCACCCTCTGAGGAATGACCAAGGCCCAAGGACCAGACACATCAATCCCCTGCATTCCAAGGCCCAGGCAAAGCCCAAGGGCCTTGGCAAGGCCACCTCCAAGCAATGCTGTGCTCAGGATGCCACTCAAACACCCTTGCCACCCTCTGAGGAATGACCAAGGCCCAAGGTGGACAGAACCTGCCAAAGGGGCCACCACTGGCCCTTGTATGGAGAGCACTTCGTGATTCAGTTCTTAGACTGACGGGGATGAAATGCTTGAGGGATCCCCAGAGATGTGCCTTCTCTCATCGGATTCCTTATTTGGTTACATCCCTCACATGGGAGAGAAACAAGTGGGTCCAATCTGGCTGAGCCCACAATCAAATTTCAATTTCAGCCTATTGACTTGTGTCCAGTTCCAATGCCAGGGAGTATGTCTTCCCGGAAGCCCCCGCTTTCCCTGCAACACTCCCCTCTCCTGCACTCATCCTTCTGGCTTTGACAGAAGTGATTATAGTTCTTGGGCCTCTCTTTTAGCTTGGTGTTTGCAGGAACAGCATCCTCCTGGATAAGAGAGCCAAAGGCTTGGCCACAGCCACACAGCCTGCAAGGAACCAGCCCGGCTCCCCTCCAGGAAGACTCTCCAGGCCCAAAGCCCTGGGCTGGCCCCGCTATGCTGGCGCCTGCAAGCTCCTTACATATATGGCCTGGCCATTGATGTCGGCGCTGACAGAGGCAGCTGTGGGAGAGGTGTTGGGCACAGTGTTAGTGCTCGTTTCACTGATGTAAATCTTAGATGTGGGGATTTTCAGAGCTCTGCTGGCCACCTGCGAAAAGAGAAGACATCACTGTCTAGGAAGGGGTTATCATGGGGCTTGGCTGCCTTCTCCTCAAGACAGGATTCAAGTTCACTGTTAAAGGCAAGAAAATAATTTTGTAAGCTCTAATACTACTGATTCTGGGATGGTCTCACATCCGGCTGAATCTGAAGCAGTACTTTATGGAGTGGTTTAGTTGGATAACAAATTTGTAAACCTAATGGTGACTAACAGTGCCTTTTTTGTCTCTCATCCTCAGAGGGGAGTAGGCCAAATGTCTTTGTCCTCCCTCTATGGGTGAAGAAACAGAACCAGAGAGGCACAGCAGCTGCCCACAGTCCTACAATCCAAAAGGTAAGAACTGGAGCTGATCCCAGATCTCCGAGTCTCACTGCCCGTGGCATATTGGACAAATAGAAATGTTCAAGTTCAACTTTCGTCTCAACAGCAAAGAGCTCCTCCAGGCAGCTCTGTTACCAGTGACAATGGCTGTCTGTCATCCTCAGAGGGGAGTAGGCCAAATGTCTTTGTCCTCCCTCTATGGGTGAAGAAACAGAACCAGAGAGGCACAGCGGCTGCCTACAGTCCTACAATCCAGAAGGTAAGAACTGGAGCTGATCCCAGATCTCCGAGTCTCACTGCCCGTGGCATATTGGACAAATAGAAATGTTCAAGTTCAACTTTCGTCTCAACAGCAAAGAGCTCCTCCAGGCAGCTCTGTTACCAGTGACAATGGGATTTCCCTTGTAATACTGCAACCAGGGGTGAAATGAGGCCCCAGTCCAGTGAGGATAGACAAAATTATATAAAGCAACTACCTGATTCAGAAAAGGAAGTGTAAAGCATATTCCAAACTTGGTAGGAATTATGCACAGTCCTCTCTTCTTCCAACAATTCTCCCTGAAGAAAAAGAAACATTCTCATAGAACCTTGTCCACCAAATTTATGTCAGATTAGACATATTTTCAGTCAACATCTTTGTATTAAATTGGAACAGGGCATCCGTGGAGCTGCCCATGTCATCGTTGTCATAGCTGAGTTGTGCCTCGAACACAACTCAGTTATGTGTATTTTGCAGACAAAAATGAGAAAGGTAAGAATTTGGTTTCTGGGTCCTCCCGTGCAGCTGCTGCAGAACCCACCCTGGGAGTCCTGACTCTCTGCTCTTCCCTAAAAGGAATTCATGTTGGATGAGAGGGCCCCGGTGACCTTGGGCTGTCTTCGACCCATAGTGGGACTGTGGCTCGCCGGTGGTAATGAAGCCTTCTCTGTACTTTTGAGTCCTGACTCTCTGCTCTTCCCTAAAAGGAATTCATGTTGGATGAGAGGGCCCCGGTGACCTTGGACTGTCTTCGACCCATAGTGGGACTGTGGCTCGCCGGTGGTAATGAAGCCTTCTCTGTACTTTATATTCAGTTATCTGAGTAACTCTGTGAGGAAGATAGAGCCATCATAATGACATCCACTTGGCAGGTGACAAAACTGAAGCCCAGGAAGATGGTGTGACTGCCAGGATCACATTTACAGATTGGTATAAGAGGCAGGCATATAACTGCAGTGTTCTTAGTCCTGGGCCAGTGCACTCTGTAACACGGTGTGCCCAGAAGGCACACAAATGTGTAAAGATGAACCACGACTGATGGGCTATGGCCCTGGGTGCAGATCGTGAGCCCATCTGCCCCCAGGCTAAAGATCATTACAAGATCTTAAAGAGATGGCTAGGAATGGGTTGGCAAACTCAGCGGCCTCAAAAGTTATCCATCTTATCCATCAAATTGTTAGCTTCTTATTTTGTGTTCAGCAGAAAGGCTGTAGAACGAGGGATCCCAGAGAAGACCAGAACATGGGACTCCCTCTGCCGGCACTTACCTGTTGAACTTGTCAACCTCACTCTTCCGAGCATGATACTGAGAGGTCTCTAGGCATTCATCCCAGCACTTGAGCAAGTTGAACCCCTCAAGCTTCTGGTTGAAATGTGTCAGGTCTCCTTCTTTGTACATGTTTCTCCTCCGCACCTTCCCAAGGAGAGAGACACTGAGGACTTGTCGGTAGCAAGAGACTGGGGCAGGGGGCACAACCTAAAGTTAAGCTTCCAGCCCCCCTCAGCAGCACCTGCCCATCCTCTACCCACTTAGAAGATGCCCAAGATTCAAAGCCACTCTCCCCCCAAAGTAGGCTAACCCACTCTGACCTGTGCCACCAACATCCCAGCTTACTTCCTCTGCGGGCAGCCCACAGGTCACTGCAACCTCGCTCATCCAATACTCAGCAATGAGCATGCCCTGGGGCCCCCCAAAGCCCCGGAAGGCTGTGTTGGAGGGCAGGTTGGTCTTGCACAGTCGCCCAGTGCCCCGGATGTTGGGGATTTTATAGCAGTTGTCCATGTGGAATAGAGCTCGTTCCATTATCTGAAGCAGAGGAAACCAAAATGGGACAGAACGGTGTGTTGATTTCACTGGCTCCTCAAACAGAAACTCAGAGGGCTGCACCCGTGTTTGCCTGTCCCAGCCTCACTGTCAACTGTTCTTCAGGCCAAGCTATATCTTCCCCAGGATATTGCAACAGTGTCCTTCCTGCACCTTATCCACCTATTAACATCCTCATCCAACTCCTCCATAGGGAAGCCCTCCCCAGACCCTCTAGTTGAAACTAATTACTTGCCTTTTTAAAACAGAGTTGATTTTATTAATTCACTGTAAATGAATTTTTATTCCTACTAAAGTTGTACTGCAAAGAGTTTATAGAGTCCAATACTTCTGAGTTGTGCTATGAAAAACCTTCCTTTCTTCCATTCTCTAGAAGCAACCACTTGCAGTCTTCATAGCTAATTATCTACCAGCCATTTAGATTAATTTCCCCATCTCTAACTAATGTGCTTATATTGCTACATCTTGACTTTTCAGTTTTAGACTTTTCTATTGTCTCCCCGCCATGGAAAAGGGGGATTTGGTTTCTGCCCAGCTCCCTTTCCCCACACACAGCAGCTTCCTATCCCCACTATCCCCATATAGTTGTATTTTGATCTGATCAACAGTCAATTTAATATTATAATTCTGTAAACATTGCTACAGATAAACCATGTAGTTACTCTATAATTACTTCTCTTTTTCTTGATAATACTTTTTCACTCTAGAGTTAATAATTGTCTTTATTTTTTCATTTGCTTCATTTTCTATGCATGTATTATGAGGTCAACTTAAAGTCTTCTCCAGTTCTAAAAATCTGCTCTATGTCCAAGCACATTAGATTTTCTATCAGTTTTATCTTTTTGAAGAAATCAGTTCTGGAGCCAACTGGCCTACTCCAATTTAATTGGCTACCACTAGGCCTGCTGTCCAGCTGTTATGTTGGGATTCTCCCTCAAAGTCATCCCAGTGATTCCCTTTACCTCTCTCTGTATTGAATCTCCCGTTCCTGGATCTTATGTCTAAATTTCACAATGACATAACTCAGCATAGGTCTATTTCCCTTCATTGTGCTGGCTCAGATGGGCTCTTTTAATCTCAAAATATATGTCCACATATGTCCATCAGTTTGGGGGAAATTCTTGAATTATTTCTTGATAGTTTCCTCCCCTCTACTTTTTCCATTCTTTCTTTATGAAACCTCTATTATTTGGACCTCCTGGACTGGTCCTCTAATTTTCTTGTATTTTCTCTCCTATTATTCCACATTTTTCTCTTTAGGGGAGATTCCTCAAGTTGCTTTCATTTTTATTTTATTTATTTTAGTTCAGTTTTAGTTTATTTTCACATGTATAATCTCTCTTTTCCACAAGTTGCTTTACATGTTTTTGATTATTTCAGTTTTAGATATTCTAAATCATTTTTCTAATGTTTCAGTTAATTCCACATTTGCTTTCCCTTAGCAGCTTCTCAATTTGTACTTCTATTTCTTTTTCCTTATTTTATTATCTATATCCCCCATCATATGCATACTTCTTGAGAGCAGAAACAAGGTCATATTCTTCTTTATGTAGCCACCCTAGACACTCAATCAATATTTGCTGTATTGAATTAAAAATTTTAAATCTTGTAAGATCTTTGGCGACTGTATGTTTTTCAACCTGATTTTTCCCATAACATCATGAGAAAACTAGAACTATTTCTTTTTTGAACAGTTTTAACACTGGATTTGAAATGCGAGGTTTCCTAATTGAGCCAATTAGCCCCCAGCAGAGAGAAGCAGTATCCAGAGGGGGTAATGGGGAATTTCTGCTTTCCCTGAAATGTTTAACTTTTTTTAAAAAATAAGAATTAATACATACGTAATTAGTATAGTTATATAATTAAGATTTTAAAAACTTGAAAAGGAAATACCACCAAGGTAAATTTGTTGTATCTCACAATTGATTTTATTTCACCCAAGGCTTCTATCCCCTAAATATTTTTCTAAGTGATTCAATATTTCAAGTTCATTTGCCAAAGCTGTAACCACAATAATGAGGAGTATATAACGCCCACTTCTGGTCTTACCCTGGTCATGTACAATGTGATTGGAGGAGCATCAAATGAGACTAAATATGAAAGCACATGATAACTACATTTGGCATTATTCAGGTTCCATCCTGGGAGAAACAAACACTAATGTACAGTATAGGGACTTTCACTTCCACACTCCCACTGAGTACCACTAAAAACTTTGGGCACTATATATATGTATCTAAAATCAATAACAACAACATAAGAATAGTCTGAAAGATGGAGAAAAAGGCAGACTTGCTAGGGAACTTGGGACCCAAGGAATGACATGACGGTGAGTTCCAGGGGTTTTCTTTTTGCCTCATATATCCCAGGAGCTGGCAATCTAAAAATGGCAATGATCACAGAGGCCAAAAAAACTCACTCTCTCCCCCAAATACTGTTCTCTCTAGCCACAGGACCAGGAAAGGGGCAGCCTAGTAAAACTGAAACTTTTACACAATAACTGCTCAACATCAGCCAAACACCACAGAAAAAAATTGTGGCTCTATTCCTACCCACACCCGCAAAAGCTCCATGGGAGTCTAGGCTTTCACATTCATGAGGCAGTAATGAGGTGCCCTAACACTTCTGCAGGGGTGGTATGAGAGAAAGCCAGGTAGGGAGCTGAACTTTCATCCTTGATGGCCAGTAATAAGGCCCTACCTACACCCTGTAGAGTCACTGGAGAGCAAATGACACACCACATTTCCTCCCTTCCCTTCCGGGTGGTGTCAGAGGAAGCCTAGTGAAGAATCGGGACTTTCACCATAGCCCAGTGGTAAAGAGGCTATGCCCACCATGATGTCCATGGAGAATATATGAATCTACATCTCCCACTTCCACCCAGCCCAGGTGTCAACAAAGGCCAGGTGGGAAATCAAGACTTCTACCTTCACCTAGCACAACCTCCATTACCTGCTGTGGGAGCAGTGTCAGAAAGAACCAATTAAAATAGAATTTTTAAATAAGATCCACAGTCTCAGAACATCATCATCATCATCATCATCAATTGCGTATTAATGTTGAATTTCTTCAGGTTTTGATGAAAAATCACTTGTTACGCCAAGTGACAGGAAGATCTCAAACTGAATGGTAAAAGATACTTAATAGATGCCAATGCTGACATTACAAAGATGTTAACTACCTAACAATGGTTTAAATACAGCCATGATAAAAATGCTTCCATGCTCAATTATGAACACACTTGACACAAATTAAAAAAAATATTCAAAGCCTCAGGAAGAAAACAGAAAGTCTTACCAAAGAAATAGAAGATATAAAGAAGAACGAAATGGACATTTTAGAACTGAAAAGTACAGTAACCACAATAAATAGCTCACTGGATGGGTTCAACAGCAGAAGAGAGGGGACAGAGGAAAGAATCAATAAACTGAAGAATAATATAATATGTATATTACCCAATCTGAAATATATGTAGAAAATAGAATATAAAAAATTAATAGTTTCAGGAACCTGTGGGACTATAACAAAAGACCTAACATTCATGTCACTGGAGTCCTGGATGGAAAAAGAAAAAGAAAGAGGCTAAAAAAGTACTCAAAGAAATAATAGCTGAAAACTTCCCAATTTTTTCACGAGGTAAGAACCCGCAGATTCAAGATGCTGAGTGATCTCCAAACAAGATAAACCTGAAGAAATCCATGGCAAGACATATTATAATTAAATTTCTGAAAACTAAAGACAAAGGAAAAATCTTAAAAGCAGTTAGAGAAAATGACACCTTACCTATAGGGGAAAACTAATTAGAATGACAAAAGATTTCTCATCAGAAACCATAGAGGCCAGAAGGAAGTGGCACAGTTTTTCAGGAGCTGAAAGAACTGTCAACCCGAAATTTAATGCCCAGTGAAATTATCCTTTAGGAATAAGAAAAAGACAACACATTCTCAAATGAAGGAGAACACAAAAGCTGTCCTTTATCTTCTCAGAGAGAAGAGGTATTACGCCTTAAAGAAAAAACAGAATGCTATAAAAGTTAAACAGTCTGAGAATAAAAATGAGCTCCTGTGAATTAAAACTATGAAAGCAGAAGGGTTGGAAGCAGCTTGAGGAATCTCCCCAAAATAGAAAACAATGTGCTAAAATAGGAGAGAAAATACAAGAAAATTCGAGGAGCAGTCCAAGAAGTCCAAAAAATAGAAATTTCAGAAGGGAAGCATTTGACAAAATTCAACACCCACTCATTATAAAGATACTCATAAAATAGTAATAGAAAGAAACCTCCTCAATCTGATAAAGAGCATCTAAGAAACAAACAAAACCCTACAACTAACATTATATTTAATGTTGAAAGACTGAATGCTTTTCCCCTAAGAATAAAAAAAAGGGAAGGATATATGCTTTGACCACTCTTATTCGATGTAGCTTTGGAAGTTCTAACTAGTCATTGCAATACATCGAGAAAAGAAAAAAAAAATATGCAGATTGGAAAGGAAGGGGAATAAACTGTCCTTATCTGCAGATGATATAATTGTCTGCTTAGAAAATCTCAAGGAATCTGCAGAAGAACCCCTAACACTGACCAGCGACCTCAGCAAGGTCACAGGATACAAGATAAATACACAAAACATCAAGTGTATTTTTATATACTTGCAATGAATATGTGAACACTGAAATATAAAATACAATGCCATTTGCAATCAGTCAACAAAATACTTAGGTACAAATCTAACAATACATTTACAAGACTTGCATGCTAAAAACTACAAAACACTGATGGAAGAAATCAAAGAAAGATCTTAAAAATGGAGAAACATACAATGTTCAAGGATTGGAAGACAACATAGCAAAGACGTCAATCCTCACCAGATTGATATTCAGGTTTAGCTGAATTCCTACCAAAATTCCAGCAAGATTTTTTTGTAGATATAGACAAGATTATTCTAAGATGTAGGTATAGAAAATTGAGAAATAAAAAATAAAGTACTTTAAAAATAAATAAATTTATATGTAAAAGTAAAGTAAGTAGAATAAAGAATTTTGAAAAAGGAGAATTAAGCAGGAGAAATAAGACCACCCAATTTCAAGATTTATTATATAGCTATGGTAATCAAGGTTGTGTAGTATTGGTGGAGGGATAGTCACATAGATTAATGGAACAGAATTGGGAACCCAGAAATAGACCCACTCAACTGTGCTCCACTGACATTTTGCAAAAGTTAGAAAGCAATTCAAGGGAGCATGGTCTTTTCAACCATGGTGCTGGAGCAGTTAGACATTCATAGGCAAGAAAAAAAAAGGTGGGGGAGAGGAAGGAAGGGAGGGAGGAAAGGAAGGAAAACCCTTAACCCTTAACCTAAATCTCACAATTGAAAATGAATCATGGACTTACATGCAAAGTGTAAAGCCATAACACCTTTAGAAAGATACACAGGAGAAAACTATCAGGATCTACGACCAGGCAGAGTTCTTAGACTTGACACCAAAAACACTATTAATAAAATTATACATTTATAAGTTTGACTTCACCAAAATTTAAAGCTCTTGCTCTTTGAAAGATCCTATTCAGCGGTAAAAAGACAAGCTACACACTGGGATAAAATATTTGCAAAACACATACCTGCTAAAGGACTAATTTCTAGAATATGTCACTCTCAAAATTCAAGAGCAAAAACACAAATAATTCAATTACAAAATAGGCAAAAGATATGAACATGCATTTTACTGAAGAGTAAATACAGGTGGCAAATAAGCACATGCAAAGATATTCAACATCATTAACCATTAGAAAAATGTTTATTAAACCACAATGAGATATCACTGCATACCTCTCAGAATGGCTAAAATAAAAAATAACGATAACATCGAATTCTGCTGTTGGGAATGTAAAATGGTACAGACACTCTGAAAAACACTTCGGCAGTTTCTTCAAAATCCAAACATGAAACTACCATATGACCTAGCAATTGCTACGTAGAGTATGATTCTATTATACGACTTGGCCACAGAAGGAAAATCTATAAAGACAGAAAGTAGAACAGTCGTTGCCTAGGCCTGGAAAATGGGAACAGGAGTGACTGCAAATGGGTACAAGAGATCATTCCGGAGTAATGGATGTTCAAAAACTGAATTGCAATAATGGTTATACAACTCTTTAAATTTACTAACAACCTCTAAATAACACATTTCTAATGATAAACTTTATGGTATGTAAAGTATACTTCAATGATCCTATTTTTTAAAGAAGCAATTCAACTCATTATTTAAAATTCAAACATCACAGAAGTGTGCAATGTAGAAAATGACGGCATGGGCCGCCTCAATACCACTTCAGTCAATGTCAACAGTTTAATCACTGTTAAGAGTTTGGTGTATGTTCTTACAGGCTTTCCTCATGCGTATCACTATATATATGTTATATTCATTAATTAACTAATTAATTAATATCACATACACACAATATCACCACATTATACTTAGAGTTTTGTAACTAACTTTGCTTTCTTGGCAATATATCTTGAATGGGAAGAAAGGGTTTCTAATCAGAGAAGAAATACAATCATCTCTGTGCTTTTGAGATTAACCAAGGATGGAGAACCTGAAGGTGGGGACCAGTTAGGAAGCGACTGCAACATGAATATGCAAGAATTGGAGAGGCCTGTGCCTGTGTGTTCCAATAGGCTGTGGGGCATGCCCTTGCCCACCCAAGTCACCCCCAGGTGCAGGGACAGGTCCTACTTACACTCTGAGACAGATCCTGGGTGTTCCCTGCATTGCTGAAGTGATTGACCTCCAGAGCTACAATGTTCCCAGTCTTCATGAAGCCAACCTGATAAAAGGAGAGTGATTTATCAACAGTTCCCTCCCTCTGTCTACTTCTGATCCTTTCCTCCCACTTATGCTACCTGGAAGAAACAGAAAAAACAAGACCTCACACCATGAAAAACAGGTGATCTTAAGAGATCACCAGAACATAACGGTGAAGAAGAGAGGAAATAACATCTCCCCAGTGGTGTAGACTTAGCTCCTCGACCCCAGACCCACTTGTCCCACACTCATCCTTCCTGCTGGGAAATATATTGGAGACTCCCCTCCCAGCTTTTGAGGGGAGCAGACAAAAAAGTTACACTTTGCATGAGCATGAATGTGCTTGCACATCCCTGACCGTTTGATGTAACCATCAAAAACAAAAAATATAACAAAACAAAAAACCTTTAATTTAAAGGCCATTTTACAAGTGTGGGAACTAGGACCCTAAAAGATCAAGTTACTTTCTTCAGGCCCATGAGAATTGGGAATAAGAGAAATGCAATCCCTTTCCAGGAGTTAAATCATAAAACAAAGTCAGAACAGGTCAAAGGGGAGGTGTTCAAGGCCAGTGCATGGAGATGGAGAGCTCCCAGGTCTATAGTGCTAGACTGTAAGGCCATGCTAATGCATACAGGGAAATGAGGCATTGGTCAGAACAGAAACTGGTCATACACAGAAGCCCATAGAAGAGACTGTCCCCAAGAGAAATCTGGACAGTGCCCAGCCATGGACTGGCAAAGCAGGTGCCCACGCTAACAACTTGCATCTGTACAGGCCCCTGGGAAGTTTTATCTCTCACTGTAAATTATAAAGCAGTTGTTCTGATTTTTACATCAGGCCTGTGCACATGTGAACACTGAGCCACCCTGCGCGATGGCTTTACCCTCAGTCTACTGACAAATTATGTTTCTGCCTGACTGGCCAAAGACCAGATCTGGATCACAGCAAATTCACAGAAGTCGTGAATGCCACACTGTGGCATCTCTTGGGAGGTGTTCTGCTAGCCTCCCTCACACCTCCCTTTCTAGGTCGCTGTTGCCTATTTGAATTTCTCTCACTGCTATTTCTTCTTTGAACTTTACTCTGTAGTCATGCAAAAAGTAAGAGTGCAGCCCAGGGTCTCGGGACCTTCGTCCCCAGGTCTCCTTACAAAATTGCACTGCCTGCCCTGGCACAGCCCCCAACATCCAGAACCTTGTATCTGGCCAGGAAGGGATGTCTGCCACCAGTTATCAGCATGTCCTCATCACGGTCCAGCATGCAGCGTACAGGGTGGCCAGTCCTGAGGGGAGTATCAACAGGGTTAGAAACCCGGGAGCCTTCAACACCAGCCCGCCCCATGAGTCTCAGGGGTGAAAACAGCGGGAAGCCGCCTTTCCCACCTGCACACTGAGCAGACCTGTGCCGGGCTGCTCTGCTGTCTAGACACTGTGCTGGACAGTGTGGGGAAGGTAAGGATGCGAGGTGTGTCCTCACGCTTGGGGAGCTCACAGCCAGGCAGGGGAGGTAAGATGAGGGCACGTGGGTAAGAACACACAGAAACAGGCAATATTACTGCCCCCCTGCCCCATGCCCAAGAATTTTAAAAACAGAGGACTGTGAGAATTCAAAGCAGGGGAAAACTACTTTCAACATGGGGAAATCCAGAAGGCCTTCCTAGCAGAGGTGGCCTTATCCTTCCCAGCACCTGCTGGGAGAAGCAAACTTTGGAACTCACTTGTGTGCAGCCAGGGCCACCGCCGTGGACACTAAAGTGCTCCGGGTCTCCTTCCCTCCAAAGCCTCCTCCCATTCTCTTCACTCGGACCAAAATCCGGTTTGCTGGAACCCCCAACATTTTTGCAACAAAACTCTATGGGCAAAAGACAAAACATTCACACTGAACGCATCATCTGGACTTATTTCAGGCCTGACCCAGATCTTGCCTGGTATGCATGGGCCTAATTACTGTTGTGAATTCTGAAATCCCTTGATTCAAAATCCCCCTCCCCTCCCTGTGCTGCCCCGCAGTTGGTGGGGATGGGGCCCAGCACTCATCAGTCACTGCAGACTGAATGC